ATTAAAGAAGAAAAAACATTTTGCTATTTTTAATATTACTATACAATTATTAGATGTTGTGTACCGTTTGTATTGCCTAAAAGTATGTAAAATCGATACTTTGTGCTTAACTTTTAACTCCTTACGATTTAAGCTAGTTTTAAGATCTGTGTGATCAGATATATTGCATTTAAATGACCGTCTATGTATAATATTATGTGTAATAGTTTTAGATATTTGAAAATGTAAACGCGTACACTGCCTATATATTGTGAGCTCAAAGTGTGTATGTTCTATTATCCATTTTTATATATTTCAAGTACGTTTATAATATATTCATTTTTTAAAACAAAACTTCTGAAGCGTATCTTAGAATATAACATATAATATGTAACGCACAATAAACTATGAACTTTTTATGTTTGCATTATATATATTATGTAATTACAATTAACAATATAATATAATATAATATTGTTTTCTGTATACGAATTTAACTTTTGGGTTTTTTTTCAAATGATTGGAAATGTAAGAAATATTATACTCTTTAAAAGTGTTTTCACATTTAGAAATATTTTAAAAATTTATTCTAGTTCACACGAAACTGTCGATATTTTAAATATCACACACAATTTTTTTTACATTATTATTAATTAATTGATAAAATACCGTTATATGTAGGTAGAACTCAGTGGCGTAGCCAGGGGGGAGGCTGAGGGGGCTGCAGCCCCCCCTCCGAAATGTTAATACAATTTAAAAATTATTTTAATGGTCTATGGTATTCGATCAAAAACTAAACCACCGCTGTGTAAAAAATTGGTCAGCCCCCCCCCCCCTGAAAAAATCCTGGCTACGCCACTGACACGGATTACTAATTTTTAACGCACCAAAAACCACCGAGCAAGCGATGAAGTAAAAACGATGCAATTGGTATAACTTTGAAATTGTTGGGTTTTTTTTAGAAATTATACACTCGCTTAATACATAACTACTCGCATAATGCCATACTCTCAAAACCTAAATATTTATGACCTCAGCTAGTCTCACGGTCCCTCTATATTTGACACAAGAAACTCCAAGCGGAATGGCTATACTCTATTCTAAAAAGTTTTGCGCAGCTTCGGAGGACCCGCCGCGATTGTCTACAGAAATCGGCAGCCGACTAGACTGCTGTGCGCGAACCGCAAAGCGTTTCTGCTGGGTTTTTTTCTCCCAAATTTACATTTTAAACGCCCATTACCTAGAGTATAGTAATATCGAAACATCTATATTCATCTTCGTCTGTTATTCGTTTTATTTTTATAAAAAAAAGGATGAACAACGTACATAGAAACTGTGAACCGATCTTAAAGTTTACGCACGAAACTTTGAGGTCGTAGTACGTGGCAGGGTATATAGGGCGGTTTCGCGGTTTTATTCAAAACCAGTTGTGCGAATTGCCCTGTCCACCTGCTTCATTTGTCAAGGTCTTTGGACCAGCCTGACCAGCCGCAGTTCGTCCGCGGGAAGCGGCGATGCATTACCCCGGCGCCCGGTAATACACGTTCCGCTGGTCTATGCGAACCGGTTCGTCCGTCCGTTTGGCCGTGGACACGGGCCACACTGCAGGTGCCATTTAACGCGTGGCGGCCTTGGTTTTATGCGACGTCATGGCATGATGCAATACATGAAATTATAAGGTGATATTCGGTTTTGGGATGCTTTTCCAGGAGATCAAGGAGCCTCCAATGACCAATGACCAATGAACAGCCGTCGCGTAAGCAAAGTGGACGACCACGTCATCATACGTAGGCAGGTTTTTTTTTGCACGTACACAAACCATGCGTCCTGTGTCGTCCTTTGCCTATGTCCGTCGCATCATTTCGTCATCCCCCTCATAACAATATTCATGTCATTGGCTTATGTCGCGTCTCCATTAAATTGTTTCTGGTATGTAGCTGATGATTTTTAATTATTATCTGTTTGTTTAATTGTTATTCTGAAGTAAACGATTTTTATGTTCTATTCGGCGTTCAGCGGCAATCAATCATCTGGTTTCCATCAGTGGTGAAGCAACAAGTAGTGACGGTATCTACCTAGTAGGAGAGCTGCGTTAAGATTCCGACGACAATTATTACGACAGTGTCTGTCCACATTAATAATATTGAACAGTTGAATTTAAGGAAGTCACCAGAAATACAAATACAGGTATCTATTGTATAGTTTTTTTTTTATTGTTTCAATAATATGATTCTTGAAATTAGGGCATTAATTCACCCATTCTTGGTTTAAAATTTTTTTTTTTTATTATTTCACTGTCTTGTGGCACTGAATCCGAAAGGCAACAGTGTTTGAAAAAATGTTTGCGTTTATTTACATTGGAATTGAAGTGTGTGCGAGGTACAGCGGGGGTGGTTACAATGAATTGTATCTGACTGCATTTAAGTGCTATCTAGGGTAGCCTCAATAAAAATATTGACCATCGTATTTACTTATAAACTTATACTTACATAGCATAATATTTATAAAGTTAAAAATGTCCATCAAATTCTTATAAAGGAATTTATTATTATTCACCCTAGCAGTTGCGCAGGAACTATTTTTCATGAAGGGGGGGGGGCATAAAAAAACCTTACAATTATCATATATTTATTTGTGATTGATAATAGATCCTTCCTAATATTTTGTTCTTTTAATGTTGATATAGGTAGTATATTATAATATAAGAATTATTCAATTATATGAAAGTATTGATATAATTATAGTATAATATAAATATAAATACATTCTATTTATACATTCATATATTGAAACAAATCATAAAACTTTATACCTCAAGACCTAGAGTTTTATTCAAAAGTAACAATATATAAATAAATAAAATATTAAAAAAATGTATCTACCTTATATCTTAAGTTATATATTTTTAAAGTAGCAATACATAAATAAATATAAAATAAATGTATATAAGTATAAATACAATAAAATAAACTTCACAAAGGAAATTAACATTTGGACATTTTTTTTTTTAAACTGTTACTGCCAAAGTGCCAAGATTAGTAAAAATTTCCAAATGTTGATTTCCTTTATGAAGTTCTGGAAACAAATTCCTTGGCTGCAAATCAAATTCCTTAACTTCAAATCAATGTTTGCTGTCATAGACTTATGTACGTGTAAAATCATCATATGAGTTAATCTCTTTTAAACCATTGTGGACCTTAAATATGTTTTTAATCTTCTCAATGCACTAAAAGAAAGCCCAGCAGTCGCTGTAGATGCTGGTATTGTTAAAATTAATTTAATAAGTTGGGTGATTTCAAAAAATAAAGAATCTTTTACATTTAAATATTAATTTCTCATATTATTAATAATATCCGAAATACTAGTGATAGATACTATGAATGGTAACATAATAAGATGTGCATAAAGCTTATTTATGTCAAAATCCTCATTCATATTATTTAAACAATTAGTAAATCCTCGGTGAGATTTTGTGTTTTGATCTACAAGTATGTTTTCTAACTTGACCAAGTGTTTTAGACCTTGTTGATTAAAACGTCAATTTAATTTATCAAATAGGTAGTCAATTATTTCAAACATATCTTTCATCAATTTACATATTGGTGATAATTTTGTAGAGGGGTAATTTGTTTATTGAAGTCGTTTTGGTGTTTTTTGGATGCGCCTAGGGTCGTCTAGCGGTTCTAATACACATATTTCAGCATGTATATTCTTTATCTAATTTTCATTAGTTCTAAATGATAGTAATGTTTTCTTCAATGTATCCGCAGCTTTCATTGAATAAGATTCACAACATTTAGGATTTTGTAACACTTTTGCCAATTGTTCTACAGGACCAAAAATATGTGTTGCAATAGTAAAAAAAAACATTGTTTTACATTTTTTGACCTATCCTCTAAGTGTTGATTTTCTATGATCTGCTAGATGGGTTAAAAGTTTAAAAACCTTACAGACCATCTAGTTGGACAAAATGGGAGTAGATTTTGTTTTATACTACCCGATTCAGAGGAATTGTAACATGGCTCTGATACTATATTTTCATAAATACGTTTTATTTCAGTAGATTCAAGAATAGAATTTGATACATCTCTGACCATAGTGAAGACATCACACATAACACTATTTTTTTGTTCAACTTCTTGTAATGCTAAATCCAACGAATGATTACTACAGTGTAGAAAACAACTTTTTGGTTGATTTTGGCATTGCCTATCTGTCTAAATTTTACTTTAATTTTATTTAAAGTAGCTTTTAATTTATCTCAGCACAAAGCACTAGCATTGAATCAAACTTTTTAAGGCATTTTTCTTGCTTTTTTTTGCAATTAATAAATGCCCTATTATAAACTTCATCTAACGTTTATTTTTCCAATTGATACTAGTAAGTAGTAACTATATAATATAATATAATATTATATTATATTATATTAAAACTATACTCGTAACTATATCCACGTCAAGTCCGCAAGTAAATACTTTTTTTTAAATTTAAACTTTGTTATTACAATTAGTGAAGTATTTACTTAATAATTAATATTACCTAATATATTGTACACAATAATAAAATATAATATACTATAAATAGGTTAATAGGATGATTATTGATTACTATAGGCATAATTTTGTGCGGTCAATGTAGTTCTTAATTCATAAAAGTAACTTTTTTACTTTAGGTACCAACCTATATTAAAGTTTTTATATTTTTTGATAGCGAAATGGCCAAGGGCCGGTCAAATTATAGATTTCCCCATCCTAATAGTTGCCCCGGTCCGCCTCTGTGTGCATATTTTCACATTGGCTGTTATTAAAATATATGTATGTATTATAAATATGTAAGTACATAATACGTATATGTTATGTATATTTGAAAAATCAAATTTAAATCAAATTAAAATTACAATAATATACTTGTGTAGCTTAAAAATTCATTGAAGGATTAAAATACAAGTGTATAATATATTAAATAGTAAAAAAAATAAAATAAAATTTGGTTATAACAACATCTGTTTATAATGATATATATTTTACGGTCCCTTGACCGTCGTTATAGATGATACAGACTGTATTTCTTCTTTTTAACTTGAGTAAATAAAAAATAAACATTACAATAGAAATTATTTAAATTAAGGCAACTAGGTACAAAAAATCAGCTTTTGACGATCATTAATTAAAAAAAGCATAATAATCATGGGTGTGTACTGTTAAGTGTTAACATAAATGCATAATAACATAATATTTATATATTATAGGTATACAAATTACAAGTAGGTGATCATTATATTAAATTAATTTAAATAAATCCAGGTTGGAACCTTTAACATATTTTGTAGTACGGTCTACAAATTCATTAACGGCATAAGTTGTTGAGTTATATTTTTGTGGGAAATAAAAAATGAATACTTAAAAAGCAGAATGTATTATCAGTTCAACAAAAATATTGTTTTGTCAACTCAAAACCAGTTTGATTTATATTGATAATTTATATATTACTAATATTAACATTCAGAACAATTTATATTACTGCTCACCTTAGTTATAATTACCTAATAAAAACCAATTTATCTGAAAGTATATCATAAACTTACTTCGTTAGGTGTAAGTTCCTGAATTTTTCCAGGTGTTTTCGGTTTGAAAAAGCCTGATATTTTTCGGGGGGATTGGGAACAGCCTTCGGAGAATGCAATAACGTGGAACGTATTTAAACAATTATTAAACTTGGTTAATATTACAATATTGAATATAGCATATAATAACAATTTTACTGTAAACTGTTACGAGTTAATAATTATATATTTACACTGTATTATTGTGGTGACACTACGATAGTCGACAGCGTACTGATTTAATAATCGTAATCAGTAATCACTAATCGCCAATCGGAACCTAATCGTAAACGACGTATTTGAGCTATATTTGCTGTAAAAACCTATAAATAGTCTAATGATATTCCAATAATACACAATAAGGTACCTATATTGTGAGAACACTATCCGGGACTGGTGAGTCGTGGAATTTAACAATATAATTTGATAAAGCACTCCGACTGAAAATGTCTAAGAAAATTACTCAATATGTTTATTATATATTATGTTATAATAATTAATAATAAATCGATAATAATAATGTTATTACGCACATTCATGAAAATGAGACCAATATTTTGATATATTATTGTTACGGTTCGGCTTATTTGTATAATCGTTTTTAATTAATAACAAATAGTAACTATGGGTAGGTATATTTTATGCATACAAAATATGTTGTGACTGATCATTCATAATAAATTGGTATGAGATCTCGCTGTCCTGTAGTAGTAGATCACCTGCTACACGAGTGTCTTATGACACGATAAATAATTTCAACAAATAAAATTAAAAATAAATAGCTGTGAGTACATATAATTTCTTCCCATATTTAGAAAAACCTATGTTCTACATTATTATTTATTAATAATAATCTATATTCTATAGTAGGTATAATCTAATTAGTAATTATCAAGAAATTACACAATTTAATTTAGGTACAAATCTTTTGCCTGGTTGCATGAAAGATTAATTTAATTAATTTAATGCACCGATAATGTGGCACTAATTCATGTTGAAGGAACCATTTGTTCACTATTGGTTCTATACATTTTCAATTATCCTTCATGCAACCCCACAATTATGTATGCAACTGTCACACACTTAAAAATTGTTTAAAATTAAAATACCTTAGTATTGAAATGTGCTTGGTACAACTTTGAATGAAGTGAACAATTATAACAAGTAATAAATAGGTAAACTAAGAAAAATGATACACACAAAAGCCTAGCTGATATTTTAGACTATACGAAATTAGGAACTGTATTTTAACTTTTAAGCACTTACTGAAACTATTGTTAACTATGGTATTAATGTGTGGTTATGCTTATTTTGATCAATAGGCCCATTAAAAAATAAACAAATTAAATATTAAAAATAATCTTTAAAATGGACCAAAATGTACTGCACAGGACTTCAGGATACCTATCTATAAATTATAATATTATGGATTAAATGTAAAAAAATTATTTTACACAGAGTCTGTTCTTTACTTTTCCAAATTAAATTATAATTAAAATATACACAAATATAAAATATAATACTTATAAGGTACCCTCAAATGATTCTTATTTATCTAAAAATATTTAATCTCATTTATATCCTACAGACATCTTTCTTTACTATAATTGTCTACTCAACAATAAGACTGGTAAAATCATATATTCATATTATTTAACATATAGCATTAGGAAAGAACAACTCAATTCATAAAACTCATTGGCATTATTAAATGTATTGAAGATCAAAGAATAAATTAATATTATTACTAATATGGTATTCTCCTTAAAATTACTGTCTAATTATTGATTTTTAACGTCCAATTCATTATTTTTTGAACTTTAAAGATAGATGGAATATCTACCTACCAGTCAAACAAGATAAAATGTATTTTTAGTCTGATATCCCTTTAATTTTTAATTTAATTTCAATATTATAGCATTTTATGTTTATATTTATGTGTATAACTTGTTTTAAATTTTCAGCTTGATTTATTAACATTTCTAAAAAAAAAATGTAATTTGTCTTGTGTGATCTATAAAAAATTAATTTAATGACTTACTAAATATGCTTTACTGTAGTTGTTTTGTAAGAATGTTAGGCACAATATATAGTAGACATTTAATAATGTTAATCCTTAAGCCAAATGTATGCATTTTTAATGTATTTAGTCCTGTACTTTTGTGAGGGTAAAATAAATATAATATGAACTTATACCTAAGTATGTGAAGTAAAATTATAAATAAGTACATTATTATTAGGTATTGATTAAAAAGATAGATATTTTTACTAAGAAATACTGCAATAGTAAATAAGTGTGAATAAAAATACTAAAAAATTATAATACCTCATTTATTATTATTGACCATCCGAAAAAATTGTTAGAATTATAAAATAGTCCATAGTATATGACTATATAAAAATAAATAATAACAAATAATGCTGATAAATTACAAGTTAAAAAAGAAAAAATCGGGGAAAATAATAACTAAAGTTAATTTTGATATTACTTTTTCATCAGTAAAACTTAATTTAAATTGTTTTTTCTGTAAAAATCAATTTGACTTTACTATAAAAACTATTTCTTAATCATAGATAAATTAGTTTATACCCTCGTTTTGGAGAAAATAAAATACAACTTGATGAATAATTGTTATAAGGTACATAAAAATATTAAGTTACAAAGATAATAATATTACTTTTTCACTTTTTTTTTCAAGTTACTCTAAATTCAAAGTAGTATATACAGTAGCCACATTGTTGCAAACACTATTCCTGGAGATACTATGGACAACAGTAACATTCAGATTCAAAATACAAATGGTCAAATTAATATTGTGGGACAAGATGCAACAGGGCCTGGTATGAATGGATCACGTGGTGGAAACAATAATGGTGTTTCCCAATTTTCAGGTGATCTCCAATTCGAAAATTCACCATTTTATACCGTTGTACATGAAATTATCAAGCCAACTGTTCTAAGTAAGCTATCAAAATATATTTTATGATAAATCTTCTAAAGTTAGTTATATTTATAATATCTATTTTATTTCAGCTATGAATACAAATCCATTACAATTTTCGCTGTCGGCCAATCATATTGAAAGTTTGTACAGTTTTGAGAACTTAGAAAACAGTGAATTGAAACTTCAATTCCAGATTCGAATTGGAAAAATTCCAGGTGATGGTTCATCATTAATAAAGGATTATTTGCCCCAGGGACTGCAAATTGTTTATGGTTCTTCGGTTCATCCAAATAATTTGCATTTTCCACAGCCACAATCATTTAAAGTTAAACAGCCAATCAATTGCGCTGAGTTGATACATGAAAATATGATTAAAGACCTGATTTATACAAGCTGGACTCCTGATGAACATAATTACGCTCTAACATTGAATCTAGTTAGAAAACATTCAATAAATAGTTTGATAGACCGACTTCGAGATAATAGAGATAAGACATCAAGCGAAAATCTAGAGAAGACTAAAAAATTTATAATTAATATGTTATTAGATGATGATTTAATTTTGGACACAGGTGAACCAGCTACTTGTTTTCGATTGTTTTGCCCGTTGAGTAAAACAAGAATGGAAGTCCCCGTTAGAGCCAGACATTGCACGCATTTGCAGTGTTTTGATGCAAAGACGTTTCTATTATTAAATGAGTGTACACCAAAGTGGGAGTGCCCAATATGTACTACATCTTGTTCGTACGATGACTTAGAAATTCAATATTATTTTTTTGAAATTTTGTCAAGTTCTACACTAAGTGATGATTGCAGTCGTATAGAATTTCAAACAGATGGGGTACGGCTTGGATATTATGAAAAAAAAGAGATGGAAAAGGAGCAGGGGAGTTTGTATGAAGTTATCATTGAAGTGGAATAAGAAGATGGCCAGAAATGTATTTCGTTTTATTATTATTATTATTATTATTATTATTATTATTATTATCATCAAAACAATTTAAAAATATACAAACTTTTAGAATTATGATGATCCATAGTTTTACACAATAAATAGGTAGCATATAAACAAAATACATTTAAAATAACACTTATAATGATACTTATATTAACAGCTTAAAATGCTCTAATGAATCACTAAATGTCCAACTATGGTTATTAGTAGAGTTGAGATTAATGTTATGTGAAGACATTTGAAATATGAAGTTTATTTTAAAAAAAAATCAATAATTGTTATTAATTTCTCTAATCGTAATTCATAACTATCATAAGCAAAAACAAATTAATATTGTAAATACTTCATTATTTATTTTGTTAAATTAAATATGCAATACATAAACATCAGAACAAATTAATATTTTATAATTTTTTTAAAGGAATGTAAAATATTATGTTGTGTCAAATTTTTTGAAATAAAGTTATTATTACTCCGGAAGTTAGATTAGTATTGTCCTTGATTATTGCCTCATATATGCTAAACGATCTCTCAACATCTTATGGCCATACAGGTCGATATCCAGATCGTATTATTGTAATAATAATTGTAAAAATAATAAATACAATACGTGTAGCTTAGGTTATTTTATTTTATTATTTTTGTTTTTAATATTGGTGGGAATATCAGTATTCAAATATTATATTTGTTTATGTATTATTATAAACAACAATTTATTTACTATAGAAAATTACTGGATTAGGAACTAAAAATTAAAAATTCAAAAATATTTCTCTAGTATAACCAATAGGTATACTTTGTCTCTTTTTTCTTCATTATTAACACATCAAGAAGTAGTGACTACATTATACGATTTAAAAATATTGTTCTGTGTGATACCACAAAGCCAAAGAGGAAAAAAAATTATATTAAAATAAAACAAACTTTGGTCTATGGTAATGGGTGCAGCACATTTATTATTTTTTCTTTGTTTCTGCATTAAATTAATAATACAAATTAAGTTTGGAGATAAACATTTTTGTCAGTGATTTGAAAAATATTTTAGTACTCTACAGAGTTTAATTAATCTAAAAGATGGATAAATAGATTCTTTAATGTACTAAACGGGCCTTGACTAATCGGTTTCCTCGACTCCAATTGTTCTAGGAGTCGCATTTGAAAGTTTCAATTTGCAATGGGGTTTGAATAGATGAGTTGCTGACAGACAAACTTGACGATGAACGATCTGGACTTGATTGCACTAAAGGTGTAGATAAATCCAATTATGCAAATGACTAACCACCAGGAAAATATTTAAATTAAAAAAAAAATCTCTGGCAATTTCGTAGGTGTGGACGATAGAAACGCCGAAGAAATACAAATATTCTACGGTGACAAAAGTGATTCAACAAAAAAAAATTGATTGTATCAATTGACCGATATTCTATTTACATTACGATCTTTGCACATTGATGGCGAGGTGAAGAGGGCGCCTATATGCAGTGCGGCGTTGTTATCGTCATGACACACCGACCGGAGGAGGAAAAAATATATTATCTAGACATTAGTATATTATAGTATGTTTTATGGAATATCGAATGTTAGTATGTTATTTTAGATTAGCAATGTTTACACTTTAAAATATTAAAATATTTAAAAAAAACGTCAATATCAATATTAATAATTGTTATAGCCGATAGGTACTGATGAGTGATGAATAAAAGAATTTCAAAATTTTAGCAGAGCTAGCCGATTATTATTCTAATACTTACACTGGACACTCAACTAAAAGCTTATGGATCTTATTAGACAAGATACACAGATATTGTCTACGATCAGTTGTATGAATAATGATCTAAGACTAAAATAATGACAAACAAATAGTTATCATTGCCCAATGCAATAAAACTTATTTCAGTGTAAATAGAAAATATTTTATATTATGCAACATTTATGTAAATAATATGTAGTACACAAATTAGAAAGTACCTAAACATCGGTACTATATTAGCTATATAAGCGGATCGGGTAAAAATTTGGACCCGGGAAATTACCATGAAAGGCCTACCCAATATATTAATATCGAATATTAAAAAAAGATTTATATACGAGTTAACGGTGTTAAAATAAAATATAAATTAACTCGTGTATATTACTTTAATACGTGCTATGTACTAGTGTAGCCAAAATTATATACAACATCGTTATACGAGTATACAACGAACACTGTAGTTGAATGTTGTCAAATAATTTGTTATCCAAGTACATCGGCCCAGAGTTTTAATATAAGGATCGACCAACAGGGAATTTTCCTGATATCACGGTGGGCCAATCCGCCACTGTACCTAGTTGTGCAACTGTTATAAGTTCCTACATTTTTTCATATTTAATTAATGTAAATATAAATTATTTAAAAATTATATAATTTATTTTAAAAAAAAATATGTGAATAATAAACCTAAATCTACTAAAACTAGGGTAAATCATATTATATATTAAGAAAAAAAACCATTTAGAAAAAAATACATTCAATTTAGTGCACAAACATAAAAAAGTTATAATTGATACTTAACTACATAAGTACACAACGAATAACTATCAAGCACATGATTGGGATTATTGGGAAATAAAATTAGCTTATTTAGCTTAATATGTTTATTACTTGTTGTATTTAATAATGTTCACTAAATTATTAGATTCTAAATTCTCTTGAATATTAATTTTCATTAATATTTAACAGTGATTAAAAACATTTTAGGAGGTTATTCCTAAATATTACAGTTACGAATTATAATCTAACTTATTCAATAAATTGTAATCAAGAGACTTATTGCTGAATTGGCTAAAAGCCATTGATAAATTAATTTTAATTTTAAATCATGTGCATTATTATTTGTTAAATTTAAAAGAATTGTTTTAGTCTTCATTTTTGTAGTTTAAAAGAATTCTCAAATCCTAAAATTAAGTCTCCATTTTGTTTTAAATTAGCATACTTACCAACTGTCGCGAACAATGATGATAATATTGTGGTTTGATATTACTTTAAAAATGCTTTTTACAAGAATTACAATCAAGTTTTTTATCATCTTTAAAATGATATATTTTAATATTAAACTATAATGAACTTGAACAGCTAGGTATTAAATATCATCATAGGTTAGGTTAGGTATACATTTTCGTATATATAGATTATTAATTATTATAGGTATCTACCTACACCTTATTATATTTCTATACCTTTATTATGGATATGGGATATCTTTACCTACGCGGTACCTAGATAGTACCTATAGATAAATTATAGATTTTGTATATTATCATACATCAAGTATTGTAAAATGCAAACGCTCATGAAATAAAGCTATTCTAAGTAAAACAATAAAAAATATGTTTCAACAGTTTTATCATTTTCATCATGATCATATTATCTAGAAAATATTGATATCTATTATAATTACCTATATCTTAACTTAGAGTATAGGAACAGGTGGACAGCATATAGGTATATTGTACTTTAACCGGTTTTTAGTATGAATATTCAAGAACGTTTTCAAAATGATCTTAATATAAGCCAACATCTTTAACAAGAATGTTACCAACCACTGCCTAAGAACAATATATACATAAACTTTCCAGAATTCTTATGATCATCTCTTAACTCGGGCTGCCACACACTCATAATACACTATTAAGTTCGACGTTCGCCGATAAACAAATATTCAAAATCGAATACAAAAAAAAAACGGTTAATGCTAAGGAGAATAATGTAGAATACCAGCCAAGGTGAAAAATAGACATATTACTATATTATATAATAACAAAATATATAAATGAGGTACCTACTTAGTACTTAGATACGTAAGTACTCTTACTTCTTAGACATCATCTCGGTGGCCCGATCCGTAGGGAGTTGGGACGCGCCCGGGAATGAGAGGTGTTACTCCTCCATATTATGTAATATATGTTATACAACGGTTTAAATACTTCCATATTTTTCTATGATTAAATTTGAAAAATTACCTTGATTTCGACGTGGCGAGTAGAATATAAATGTTCACAATACAACATTACAACGGGAAATAATTTCCTATAAAAAATTATGATAAGTATAATTAATTGGTGCCAAATAAATCAAAATGTGTGTTTGACTTTTGAACTATATAATCTTATCTTTGTGTTTTTATAAGTACACCTACCTAAGCTAAAACCGTTGTATGCATTTCCTATTATTATACGTACACGTAAAGGTATATAAGTAAGTATAGGTACCTATACTATACTACTACTACTAACCTATATTACTATAGTTTGCACTTTGGAATTTGGATTTGGATTAAAAATCATTTATGTATCACATATTTATTATTTATTAAAATCTATTCTATTCTCTTGATTTCCAAACAAACCTACCTAAGCCCTAAGCCGTGCATACTATATTGATTTACCTGTAAAATATGTGTTTCTAAATACACCGTTTACCCATACTGCTACTTGCTAGTCGAGTTATTTGTATAATGAACAAGAATACACTCAGATCAGCACAAGATATTATATTATTATGTTTAATTATGTAGGAATGTAATAACCGAAATTAACACGATTGAAAAATATTATATAGGTATCGACATAATGTTGAGTCGTTATTAAGAGTGTGGACTCTGCAGATACCTAAGAGTTAATTGGAATAATTAATAACCAACAGACTATATAGTAACCTAAAAATGACAAATAACAAGATTTTAAAAGACATAATTGTTGTTAAATCGTGATGATTTAACTTTCAAAGGAAATTCAAACATAAAAATATATGGTAAAATTGGGGATAACGACACAGGCGTAAATAGCATCCTATAAATATTCCTGACATCGAGCAAAGTTTTTCAATGTATAAAAATGTATACCTACTCTCAGACAATCGAAGGAATTTAAAGTTCGAACACATTAAGCAATCATCCAGTGCAATAAGGTAAATTATGAATTAATTTTTGTTTTCACTTTTCATTAGATTAATATTTTAATGATTGAAGATACAGAATGCTAAATGGCGAAGAACTTGGTGAAGACGACGAAATACTTTTTCTTACCTTTTTTAATACTTAATTAATTATTACTTATTTTTACATAATTTTTAATAAAATATTTTCAATTCAATTTTCAATGCATATTTTGTAGCATATTACAGAATTTTTAGAAGCATATTTTGAGGATTTTTTGAGCATATAAATTCGGTCCCTAATAATAACTAATAGGTCAGGTTATGTATATGTATACTAAAAATAATCCTACATAATGAAATTATAATAATAATTACGATGATAGGTAAATAGAAAATCAATAAAAGATTTTTTTCTTATTTTGACTCATTTGACATTTCAAGTAAAACATAGCAGAAAACTTTTCAAATCGTACACGTGTATTGTTATTTATTGTGTAACATAAGAGTGAAAAATGTATTTCTTGATTGTACCCCACTTTTTACGCAACAATTACGTACATTATTTTTATTCAACAGGAGAAGTGCAGAACCCACTACTATATAAATCATTTATAAAAAATAGTGGATACAATTAGTTTTGTACAAAATTATTTATTTAGTGTCATAATAATATTTATAAATTATAATAATATAACTAAATAAATTTAATATAACAAAATTACATTATTATAAGTTATGACACAACATATTATATGAGGTAGTTGCCTACCATTTTTTAATGGAAAAACTTCATATAGATAAATATCGACGAATACGCGATTTCAGAAGAGATTTGTTATTGTTCTCATTTATCTGAATATGATGTACTTTTATGAGCCTTTTTCAACGACAAAACATGTTTATTATAAAAAATGTATAACATATTGATGTTACTGTACAGCACAGTTCTGATTATTATAAGGCCCCTTTTCATCCTTATATTGTTTTTTTTTTCAAACAACGAATGTCAAAATATAAATTGATTGTGCTTGTTTCAAATGACACACACTATTAATCAGTACAATATAGTCGTTTCGAATTGAATCTAGTTTTGTATAAAAAAAAACGTTAATTTTTTAGTAGCCATTCTTCACCATTCACTTGAGTTTTTATCAACGAATAATATTGATAATCTATTATTTAGCCCATCGTAATAAACAAAATGCAGGAAAAGTAGTAGTTTGGGCATGTATATAGTGTTGCGGTGGCGTCGTAAATTTCTATTTACGATTGATTATTTTATTAATTTCATATACTCAATTGAATGGTGAATGTTCCACCAAGAGACATTTTCTAACATTGCGGCGTTACCACAGCACTTATTATAATATTACTAAATATTTGTATTCATTGAACGTTAAATTTAATAATAATTTTAAATTTAAATTTTTGATTTTATAAGCCCCCCGCGGAAAACGAATAATATTTCTCATAATTTGCATAATATATTATATTACATTAGGTAATTATATAATATTATGTTATATGTATATACTATATAGGTAGATCGTACATGTATTTATTACCTTGGCATTTAATTATTTTTGTATATAGGAATTAGGTATGTAACCTTACGGTGTATAATATTATTGTTATCGCAATTCGTGTACACTGTATACCTATTATAATTTGTAAAAACATTATGTAAATGTAGTGTAGAATTAATATAATATGTAATGAAAAGACGTTCACATTTTTGACGAAATATATCGAATAGTTATACAATTTACAGTAGAAACGATATTACATCGAATATTAAAAATAATATCCTTCAAACCCCATTATAACACGGTTGATCGGTTTTTGATATCTCGATATTTTTAACAACTCGATTTCTCACCCTTTATTGCCCCCCCTCCTTTGAACTTCGAGAGTCAACTGTATGATCGGGGTGTTTGTTATTATCACTGCGTTTTTTTCCCCGCCGGTGGCGGCGAGGCGATATTTCGGCCGCGGCGACAACACCGGCCGAACACGCAGCCGAGCATTTTTTTGGTCATCCACGCCATCAATACGATCACGAACGACACCAGCAACAGGACGTCCAACAGCATGTACTGGAACCAATATAGGTCGTTGGCAGCAGTCCGCAGGTGTTTCGCACCGTTGTGCCTGGCAACGTACTCGACCCAAAACACAGCCTTTTCCAGCGGTGGTAGCGGGTTGTCTCTGAACATGGCCGACGATTTTTTGGCATTTTCCCGGTACCTGCGATGTCGTATAAATGGTAGGTGATGTAATATTATACTTTAATATTATATACTATTATTTCTTTTATATTATTCACATACAATAACATATTTATATACGAATGGTAAATAGCTACTATTTTGATTACAAAATATTCAATATTGAATAGGTTAGGTACCTAGCACATCATTGTAGTCGGTCGTGGAATTATTATGCGAAAAGTAATGTATGCCCCACTCGTTCGATTTTATTTTTAAATCCCCAAAATCATACTATTATTACCACATCTACAGGCTGTAGGTATTAATGCATACCTATAATAGTGCCAAATTATTGAAGGTGCACAAACATTCTAAAAATTACTTTTATCAATCAAAGTGCATAATATATTATTCACACAGCCACCTTAACTTATGGCCAAGTTTCAAGATTCAAAAATTCAAAAATATACAGTTTATTTTGCCAATCATACTATAAGTATCAATATTGAATTGGTACATTCAATATTTTCTTAGGTTAAATTCTAAACAAATAAAACTTTTAAAATATATTTCTCAAAAATAATTAGAAATGTTCGAAAACGATAGACTCTTTTATAGTACCTACTTACTACTTACATAAACCTACTTATGTAGGTATAATAGGTATATACTATAAATTCATATTATACCCACAGTGAAAGTATTCTGTATAAAATGTCCAGATCTTATTAAATTAAAATTGAAAAGGAACATAATATTTAAGTAATTTGAAACATATAGAAACTTAAAATAAAATTATATTCGTGCCTTTAAAATACCAACATAAATAATATGAACAAGTTTCTAAGAGAGCTACTTTACTATTAAGAAGTAAAAATAAAGTTAAACTTTGAAATTAAGTTGCATCCCCTCAAAAGATGACCCGGAAGTTTTTCATTGTCTATGTTTTCTTTAACATTCAGTATTGTTGGGCAATTAAAACAGAATACTTATGTATTAATAATCTATTCGTTACGAATTTCATTCTACTATTTGACCGCAGTAATTTTTTTTTAACATACTTTTATCAACAACTTTACTTAAACACACACACACACACACACACACACACACACACACACACACACACACACACACACACACACACGCATTATTCAGTTCTTAGCTACTCAACTTAAATTGTTTTATATTCGGAATCATGCACGTCAAATGTGTATACATAATTTGGGGAATATTAAAACAGAATCAAACAATTAATGGTAAATGAAATGGAATAGGAACGACGAGTGGTAATGAGACACATCGCTCAACGACGTGACAGTATATTAATATTAATTACGTGACTGTTGACGGGGTTAACAGTCAACACCAATTATAATGGTTGCAACCATGGTGACAAGACTTATGATTTAAGTAAATATAAATAATAAATGTCAATGATGGGCGATGGCATTAAAAATAAATCACAATGGTGATCATGTTTCAATATTATTATGTTCGATTATATTTATATTATATAAGTAGTTAGAAGCGTATTCACGGTGGGTTTTATTGATAGGGTTTGAAATAGGTCGTGAGGACTAATTCCCTCCTCCTTGTATAGGTACTTACTTCCGGAGTTGGTAAATTCTGACAAATTGAATAAACATTAAATGACACATACAATGTATATAACAATATGACAGTATCGAGGAGTGAGGACGCATTTCAAATTTGAATACTTTTTTATGTAGGTACTTACATTTGTTTTGTTTAGTTATGGAAAACGTAATTTTTATGTCATAAAATGTTATGTTTATATTTTTGATCAGTTATTTTACTTTGCCCTAGCCGTCATTGGCGATTATATGTAATATCTCAATAAATTACATCGTCTTTGATTCTTAAAATACATGTTTGAAACTCATAGATATACTTTGGTATTTTTACGTGGTATTATGCAGGGGTGTGCTCAACGTTTTTTAACAGTTTGTAAGCAATATACATTATGAATAAAAAATTGTAATTATATGTAAGTATAGTAAGTACTTATATACTTGTCAAGTGTCTTTGAGAATCCGAGAACGCTCATGGTATTATGGATACTTTATAGTTTATACTCACGTCGGATCAATGAGGAGCTTGTGTAGTGCACTGCCAAACGCCTCGTGCGTCAATTCGAAGTACGGAAATTGTATAGCTATGCCTTGGTACTGAGCGCGCAGTGAGTTACCCTGCTGATCACCAAAAACGGGAATGGCCAACATGGGCACTCCGTGGTAGATGGACTCAGTGGTGCTCTGTACTCCGCCGTGGGTGATGAATAACTTGCAGTTTTTATGACCTAAACAAAAATATTGTTGTTCAGACGAAATACAGTTTGATGAAAATAGAAAATCCTCGCATTTTCGACACTGCCCTACAATTTCAGTAATTAAATAATGAATACAAATTTTTTTCCTACTTGTCTTACAAACATTTTTAGATGAATTAGCATTGTTATAAATATAATTTTTGTATTGAACATTATCACTTCACTGGTATCGTTAATCCATTTCACCGAAAAACTGGGCTGAGTCGATCAATTTAATATACATAATACCTATACTTAAAATCAATAGTACTTATCTAATTATAGGTACCCATTGGCTGTTATTATTTTATTACGTATTATTTTGACTCTGCATTATATGTCAAAAGGTAAATAATTTTACTTTGTCTACGTAATTTGGGAACTATCTCTAAACACTTCCCGATTTTCAATTTTTCCCGTAACTTACAACAGTGAATAGGTAGTATCCATTGATAATTATATAAAATATACATTATTTATTTTTGTGTTTACTGCTTGACGTTCATTGCATTGTTAAGTCTCAACCTGCAGTGCCATAAACGGTTACGTGATTCTACGTGCATGTTATCTATTTTCTGGTGTTAAAGTCTATTTTAACCTTCCTCTCCTTCCTTCAAATACACTATATTATCATTTAAACGTTATTTTGTCTAATAACAATTATAGTTTATCTAAATTCATATTTACAAAGTAAAAATATAAAAATAATACAATGCATCGACAATCATTATGCACGAGATTATTCTAAACATTCAATTATGTTTTTTTAAATTATAATTTAAGTATGGGATATTTTTTTTAATACATTCATTTTTTGTTGCTATAGTTTATTAAATCTATTTATTATTACAGAATCTGTAATCATTAACTAATGTGTTCCTATATACATAATATAAATTGTTTGAAAATCAAGTATATAATATTATAGAACCTATATTTATTATTTATAAAAATTCAATAATTCATATTATAAGACTATAGGTAATAAATAATAGGTATACAGTATACTCAATACTCAGACTTTAAATCTTTAACCATCAATTCCCATTTAAACATCGATTTTTTAATTTATACTTTTTTAAACTATCAAATTCTATTACTTGAAAAAAGACCTAACTGCAGGATGAACATGATTTTTTTTCTTTATAAAAAAACCATTTATTAACAAGCATATTAAATTAATTTGTTTTATATTGAAACAAATTACTTTTGCAAATGTGTATGTACAATACAACTGCAAAGTATATAGAACGATAAAATGTCATAATAACTTATTTTTGGGAAAACTGCACCCTCCCTCTATTTTTATCGATGTATTTATTTACGTTATAGGTATGTTACATATCCAAATCAGAAATCAGTATGTAGTAAGTACGTCTTACTTACCCAACTCTTACGGGTCGGACAAATAGTAATACTAATAATAAGTACGTACCTAGGATGTCGTTTTGGGGAAACCATTTTCGAACGACGACGTTCTTGGGTAGTTGAGGTATGTCATCAGCCTCCCATTTCCATAGGACAGTTTGTTCGATTTTCGAGAGTTCCGACAGTAATAGCGAAACTGTTTCCTTGGGCATTTTGGACGATTTTACCACCGATCCCAAACTGAAGTATACTACACCTTCTTTAGCACTTTCCATTATTTGTCTCAGGTCCTGTAAGGCGCAAACAAAAAATGAGAGATTAGTTTTCAACGTCGCGAAAAAAGATCCACTTGCGGAACTATAATATATTATATGATGACCCAGGTGCAGCAAAATACAGGCAAAGAACACTATACAGAGCTGACGAACACCGGACTACTCACACATAATCTAATCTTAGAAATCTTACGAACCTCGGGTGGTATTTACCGAAATCAGAACCTCATAATTTAGTTTTTAGATTTTTTTTTTTTTAAATGAACACCGAACCACGCGAAAATAAGCACTAGATCCAATGCCACCACAACAACTAAAAGGTTCCAGTCGGTGGCCTGGTTATTGGGAAAAAATAGGATAAAAAAATAAAAAAAAAAAAAATGTGAGGAAGTCGACGGTGTACGCCGTGCTTGGGCTGCGCAGTATAATATCGTCATATAGCATTACTTCGGGCAACGGTCCGGCAGGCACGCAGTGCATGCCAGCCACGTGCACGTAGCTGGGTACCAGTGGCACGGCTGAACCGAGCACCGGGTGGCTGTTGACCAGTGTCAGCGACACGTTCCGGAGCATGTCGACGAGGTCGGGACGGCGCTCGTGGCCCGGGTACACAAAGTGCTTGTCGGCCACGGCCCGCTGGCGGGGCAGGTACACTAGCCGGGAGACGGCGGTGTAGAAGAACGCGGACACTGCGTTGCTGGTGCGCTGAGCGAACGTCATGTTCGATCCGAAAGCACTGGTCAGGTCCGGAATGTAGGCCGGGTTGTAAGGGTTGCTGTGCCACTGCGACACCCTGGAGTTGGCGGAGAATGGCAGCAGCTGCACCACCGGGGCACCGTATTTGTGCCCGATGGACACGAAACACTCGTGGTAGAAGTTCTCGAACAGCACCAAGTCAAACGACGATCGGTCGCTCCGGATGAAGTTGGCCACAGACGGTTTGTCCAGACTTGTCTCGCTGATGTGCGGCCCGAACCACCACAAGTGAAATGGCGTGGGCACCAGGTTCACGTACTTCGCCACTTTTAGCATGTCGAAATCTTGAAAACAAATAATCACTCGTTGTAAACATAAAGGTTGGTGCACTTTTGCCTCGATAATACATTATTCAAATATAATTCCATAATTCCATTTAAATAACATTTCCCAGCTCCTAATTCAATTCAACTCAGTGTTCATAGTAAATTTAATACTTAAGTTTTTATGCTACGAAAATACTTTATTTATATATTATTCAATATACCTATCTATTTTCTAACTGATGACGCTTGTTTTCTTTTTTATCTCTTAAACACTCACTATTTTCAATTCTCTACCTACTTACCTACTATTTGTTATAAATAATAATACATCTCATCAACTACTACATAATTTCTCGAAGATTAGTTGTCATTGTTATATGTATAAATACATGCTATGATATAAATTATTTTATACATTATGCTCATATAGTGTATGGACCCCTTTAACAGGTTTTCAGATTTTCTACTTAATTGTGTTTGTTTTTTTGAAAAAAAAATGCATAAGCACACCACTGTCCATTACACAGTATAGATATTTTTCAAAATTACCTCCTAACGTTTGCTCCACTTTGACGTGACGATACGGCCGTTTGGCGCCATCCAGCCCAAATGGTGCCACAAGCGTGACATTATGACCTCTGGAAACGAGAGTTTCAAGTAACGGCTTAAATCCCATGAAATGACTTTTACCTTCGGTAGGCAAAAACGCTAATATACTCAATGGTTTCGCCGACAGCTTCTGACCCTCGCTGGACGATCTTTCCGCAAACAACAACAACGTCAACAACGTCAACAGTTGCATCTAAAAATTAAGAAGAAATACAAATATAAGCAAACATCTAGCTACTTAAAATTATACTTGTTTATTAGTCATGATTTATTAATTTTTATCATTAATTACTATTTTGTTAATTTGTTAATTTTTTTGTTACTTTTAAATACATGTCTAAACAACTTAATATTTATTGAAAATTAAACTTCTATTTATTTTATTTTTCACTTGTATTGTTAAATATTATTTTTTAATACATTTGCATAACTGTATGAGTAATGTTTATGTCATTTACGTTATTTTTAGAATAAAAGATCAACCGACTAAAATATAAAATCTATATATAATGTATATATTATTATAACAGTACTGTCGAGTCGCAATAACTCGAATTTTTTTCTGCCCCTTTCAAAGTTGTGTGTTGAGGTATGTAACTCAAAAATTATATAAGTCGAAAACTTACAGAGTCACAATTTTATTCCACTTGAGATTCGAGTTATCGAAACTCGACTGCATAATTTATTGAAGATTTAATAGAAACAATTATTATACTATAGAATAATACACGTAAAATAATATAATATAAAAATCAAAACATTGCATTTTTACATTACTATATTAGGGTGTATTATTATTGCTTTTGAAAAGAGAACCAAATATTAACTTTTTATCTTCTTTATAACATGTCTGAAATTTTGATTTGGTATCAATAAATATTATTATTATTATTATTTAACAATAATATATTGTAAAACCTTGAAAAACATTTAAAAATCAGAGTATAAGTATGTAAATACCTACATATTTAGTAACAGGTTATGAATATATTTACTGATGATAATTGGTGTTTACCTAAAATACTTTAAACATACATCCCGTATATTTTAGTCTCCCCAAATCGAAAAACTACTATTTAACGAAAAAATCAGTTGGTATTAGCTATTCCTTATTTCAGTTATAAGGAGGTTTACTGTAGGTACTTACTAAAACCTTTAACGTAAAAATGCATAGGACAATTAAGTTGAAAATGTATGTAATTGATATTGTAGAATAATTTAAATGGCACCACATATTTTGTAAAATTTTAAGAAACAAACAAGAATTTGGATTTGCTTGATAGTAACACAGAACATTCATTAGTCGCAACTTCACAAATTTCCCCTATGAATTGACTTGAAAACGTAATAAATGTGATGAATACATTTATAAACATTTTTTTTTACCATTTGTAAGGTACTTGTATATGTTTTTCAAGAGTTTATTTAGAATACATTTTTAATTATTTATTGAGATAACATAAGCAATGGTATTTATTATTTAATGATATACTTACGGTGTTGCAGAATGCTGTTGAAAGAGCAAACGTCCTCATCGTTCGTCTGTTGCTCTAAACAACAATACGAGATAAACGAAACTACGGACGACAGCCGGTTATAATAGCCGATGGAATACTGATCTAACAACTTACAACAGTCTCTGAATGACCGTCATGTTGCGTAACGGCGGCTATAATATAGTATGGTAATAACAGTGGGAGTAAAAATCTTAATAAATACGCTCGCATATTATCATAATATTATACGCTATTATTATTACTGAATACAAATTGTTATTCAAAATCACCAACCGTTCGATAACGCTTATACCGTTATATTTTAGATTGATCCAATGTACAAATTATTGTGCAAAGTAATAATTGCAAGCAGTCTTTAATTTTGTATAGAAAATTATTAGAAAACCCGATGTACCATCTGTATCAATACATAGTCAATAAACATTTGAATTATTTTACTCAAATACTAAATTTTTTATAGAATAGGGTAATTTTTTTCTATTAAAAATAAATGAATAGATAATTTATAAATTATAATATGTACAATCATAAACAATAATAAGTAAATCTGGCGATTACAATAAAAAACAAGCATATAAATTAATTACGTTGTGGAAAAAGTTGTTCAATTACACTACTTCAACAAAGTATTTTAAGACTTTAAGTATGCACAACATTTTACAGAAGCCGCATCCAGCATTCAATATGAATAATAATAGAATATTTCAAATGAAAAATAGTACTTGGAAAAATATTTAAAATAGTCAACCTTATGTAACACCATTGATTATATTATAAATTTATAATCAATATAAAATCTGTAAATCTAAACTTGTATTTTATATTTTATATTTATATTTGTTTAATGCACGTAAGGTACTGAAAAAATTATTAAGACTATAAAAACTGTATTTGAATAATAAATGAATAAGACATCGATAGTATGAAATGATAAAAAATCTAAATGATTGAATTTAGATGGTAGGTGGTTTTTTTTGTGTGTGGAATTTTTATACTTGGATCATACATATGTACCTATGTGCAAATAAATGCAAATTAAGTTAAGTTGTCCAGAGTGTAGGTACCCAAATTAGTATCAGTATAAAAAATCCTAATCACCTGTTAATTTGTACTATTAATGTAAATTGATGGTATGATTATTATAGGTATAAAAGGTTAGGTTGCTATATAATATTATAATAACCAGGGCTAGGATTTTATTGCACTAAGAAGTAGGAAGTAGAAATACCTATTAAAATATGCGTAATATTATCAACTAAAAGATCTTTGAATACGTGCTACCTACACATAGTATGTTCTAAAACATGAACAATTCAAAAATGTTCCAGTTAAATTTTTTTTAAAAGATAATAAATAATTTGAATTATGAGTTGAGACATCGATTGAAAATGCAATGCAATGTGTTATTTTTATCATCTAGTATTCGTGTAATTTTTTTTTCTGCTGTTTTCATTGAAATAATAAAATGTATGAAAAACACAATATAAAATTAATTTAATGAATATTAAAGTAATTAAAAAACACCAAACCGAGAAAAAAGCACTACAAATCAAATTCTTAAGATGTGCAAAACTATGAAACTCGAAACATTATATTTGGAACCCTCGATGTATAAACTAAATGTATACCTAGCTTACCTTGCTATTTTTAAACATTCGGTAATAATTGGCAAATACAATATAATCCGAATTCTTGTATATGGCTATAAATGACTGAAATGTGTTAAGTACATTATTATCTAGGTATATTGTAGGTATATTGTAGGTATATTTTTATAGGTTTTTAATTTCAATATTTTTAGTTGAGAACTAATTTTTATTTGTTAAGACCACATAGTCACCAAATTAATACAATACCGGCTTAGAGGTACATCACTATAAATAATATACTCTAATTATCACAATATCTAAATTATCGAGCCGTTTAGGTAATATCGCACATATTAAGGTACCTATATGGCTATATAATTTTAAATTATATAATAAATATTTTAGTAGGTGCCTACTAAAATAGTCTATAGAGTAGTAGGCAGTAGGTATAGGCTGTATTATGTAAGTATACATTGTAGTGTGGTACCTACTAAGTACTAAGTATGGTTTCATTTGTCAGTTTTCAACATTCGTAATGAACACGGTAAATACAGAATAAAATATGCAAAGTAGGTACAGAGACTTGTAAATATTATTATGTTATTTTACTGTGCGTAAATAGTGACGACAAAGCGAAAAACGTTCCGAAATAATCCGCTAGATCTCACTACGTAATTATACAAGTTAAACCTGTGCTCTATCGATGCGATGTTGAAAAATCAGAATAGAACTACTAGTATTTATATACCACAGGCTTCTCCAAGGGTAGGAAAGTTAATGCAAATAATTAACTCAAGTTAAATTAATTTAAGGGAACATTAGATCAATACGATTTAAGTTGACAGTTAACAAATCATTAATTTAACTCGATAAGTTAAAAGTTAATAAGGAAAAAAATACTGACTTAACTCAGTTGTAAAAAAGTTAATCTACTTTTTTAAATTAGTATGTATATCACAATATCACATGAAGAGTAACTGCGTTTTTGAAAAAGATCTAATTTCCTAAATTATAACCATCAATTTTATTGAATTTTTTATCATAATGTACAGCAGTGGCGCAGGAGTATTAGAAAAATACAACGACATCAAGGGGCCACTCACTGTTGCATTTATTTGTCTTTATAGTTCAAATTCTTTATACTTTATAGTTCATAGTTTTATTAAAAAAAATTCCTGGTCAATGAAGGTGCACTTTAATAGTTCATAATATTGTATACAACTACAAGTATAAGCAGCTTATCATAATATTTGACTGGTAACTACAACTATATTTATACGATAATTTGAATAAAAACTTATATTTAGAATTTTTTTCCAATTCTGGTCGCTTGCAGTATTTTTCTTATCGATAATTGTTATTTGTACTGGAAGCATAGTATAATAATCTATGGCTTTATGCCCATCTAATCTACTAAAATACATCCATTTACAAAATTATTTTTACAAGAAAAATAACAGAAATCTTTGTTTCATAGTATTGGATGATTTTTATTTTTATATCAATATTTACTTATAAACGAAAAATTCTAAAACATTTTTAACTCGAAGGATCATTTTTAAATCAACTGTAAGAGCTAAGGTATTTGAATTGCCAATTAAACTAGTGAAATTTCAAAGGTTATTTGAAAATTAACTAACTAGTTAATGCTCACCTTTGGGTATATCCGTTTATTTTCGGCGGGCTAAGGTTGACATGGATGATCGTCAAGTCTGGTTTCACCACAGATATGTAACAGTGTAACACATATGACATATAATAATACATTCTGTGGGCTTCACCTAAGTTTCGTCACACCGAGTATAACACTTAAGCTTAACACTATTTATATTAAAAACTATATATGTAGGTATAGGAAGCCGATCACGACTGTTTGCAGTGCTGTCTTAAATCATAAGACTGAATTTGGAGTAACCGGTGTAATGTGACTACAGCTTACTGACTACGCCGTACCGCGTCACTTACAGTTGAATATTATAAAATTGAAATTTTGGATAACGGGTTACCGAGTCCAACACTATTTGTTACTTACTTTCCTACTTACTTATACCTACACATTTACTTACTTTTTTACTCTCGGACATATACGAACCAGACATGATAAGGTGCACTGTGAACACACCTCGATGCCCAACAGAAAATATCGGGGCCGTGAGTATTGAACATATTTTGTATTTTGTAGACCGTGAACTGAAATGATGAGGAATTTAATGGCAGTCGCTGGAATTATGGTACCTTACTATGGAACTCGGGGACTAAAGGTGGGTTCACACTGCACCGTGTCGTGTCGTGTCGTCGTTGAATGTTGTCGTGATCAGATTGGTCCAACCAGACCTGCAACCACGTGGTTAAATCTGGTTTCTACCACCAATTTACGGATTCTACTACGAATACCATGACGTTCCCACGCATACCACGAAGTTGATTTCATCCAACTTTTGAAAGTGTGGTTACTGATTAGTGATTTCATAGAGATAATACATGAATTCAAATATTATATTGATATCAATTGAATGAAGAACTCATTCATGGTATAGAGGGGTATAATGTTTTGAAAAATGGAAAAGTTGACGATACGAGTACAGTACTGCAGTGTGAACCCACCTTGACGCGTTTGGAAAGTTTTCCGATATTTTAACCGCGAAATCGAGTGAGGTTCTAAAGAATCCTGAGTGGCAGCTCCGGACCCAATACTCTGACCGCGGTAGACATTATTTACGTTACTTGAGGCGATTAGGTAACCACGATATTTTTCGTCGGTCAGTCAGCACTTCAGAAGCCATCTTGTTTTATGAATTGCCCGTCTCGTCCTGCACGTCCATCTCCACCTCCCAATCGCACCTCTGTTTACACTTTTTTTTGTTGCTTTTTGAATACACGAGTGTATTTTTATAGTGTTGCGCAATGCTACTGAAACAGGTAGCTCTAATATATTGATCGTCAATGGCGGCGTTTCAGTTGTTCTCAGGGCAAGTCAAAAATGTAATCGTCCCAATGTGCATTTGGTTAAAATCATGGATGGTATATTACAAAGTCACTATCTGCGCTACTAAATTCACCAACATAACAAAATACCACAGAAAAATAAAATAATTTAATTCTTGATTTAAGCTACAACCTCGATTCTATAATTACATCATACAACTATAATGGCTTGAAATTATTTCATTAAATCCTGGCATACCGTGTAATATCGTTAGTTACAGGTAAGTATTTCAACTTTCTAGGGTTATTCAATTCTTAATTACAGTAATTTAACACATTTTGTTTGCAATTGTTCAATAGTTTTATCTTACAGATAAATGTACAGAAAATTAAGGGTTGCATCCAAAAACCTATGGTTTTAACTTCCCCACAGAATCCGTTGATTGTACATAATACATCAAAATACGATACATTTAGTGTGGATTAAAACCGCACACTATTTATAATCTACAGACCAGGTGTATCATGAACGTCAAAAACTTTTACTAAGCTTTCCAAAAAGTTTGGTAAAAGTAATAAATTTTATTTTAAATTATGA